TGTTTTAGACCTGTAACTATGTACCAGACATTTAAAGGTGTAAGTTACCTATGTTGCACATACTTGTAATGAAGCAGTATATTTTGCCTGTGATAGACTAAATAAACTTGAGAATGTTCTTTGATTTTTTTTTTATTCCCTCACCTCCCCAAATAAAGAGCAAGCCAAAAACTCAGTGTAATTGTTCAATTTAAGTGTTATAGATGGCAAAGTGGAATTGAGCTCTAGTTTACGGTGTAGGGCTATCTGGATGAACTTCTGCCTCTTTAGTGGTCATGGACATGACAATGTTCTCCATCTCTGTGGGAACTGTTTAACTTTTGTTTTCCATTTTCCAGTTCTCAGGATGGCTTTATGTTGGCGCTAATCTGTTTGAATTTCCTTTACATTTGTGCTGCATTATAATTTTTCTGAGCTGCTCTATCTAGAAACTTGAAAGGATTTTAGTTACAAAGAGGGAGCTTGGCACACTGTTAATTCCAACACAGTGGGTGTCTTTTTCCCAGCCTGTGATCTGGGTTTTCTTTGCTTTGCCATGAGCAATGAAGAGTGAAAAAGAAATGTTCTCTGAAGGATTAGCTTATCAGGCTGGATCACTAGACAAGAACGTCTGCCATGCTGTTTCTTGATGGTTTGCAAGGTGTGCCTCAACTGCTGTGCAAGTTGCCAGGGAGAGTGTGTGAGTGGAGGTATTCATCGGCTTTTGGGGTTTTTCTTCCTCAAACGACAATGTGCATAGATTTCCTCTCAAAAGACTGTAGAAGTGTAGTCACCCAAAAGTCAAGAACATTTACTTCAGTGTTTCCTGTTTTCCACCCAAGGGACACTGTGCTTGGGTACTGTGCTCATTGCTGAGTGCTCTCATGTTGATTTATTCCTACTAGTTGTGAGATGGGGTGTGCACAAATGTCCTGGAGAAACCCTCTGCAACTGTTGCAGCCTTGTGCGTTGGCTTGGCTGGGTTGGTGGTCCTGCACTAGATGTTCACTGTATCAAAAATGAATGTTGCCCGTAATTCTGCTATGCTGAGGGTTGGTTGGGTTTTTGTTGTTACTGTTTCTGTTTGGTTGGGGGTTTTTTGTTTTTTTGGTTTTTGTTTTGTTTTGTTTTGTTTTAAATGAATGGTTAGAGAGAGAATTGGCATAGAAAGGACCAGAGTTCTACAAACTGGTGTACTATGGACCTCTTGCCAAAATCCTCCTGACATCCATGGGAGAAAGTCTACCCTGTACCTGTTAAGTTGCTTTTGCCTTGCAGGGCAGAGAGGGTTCCAGATTTTTTTGAGCATCATGGAAATGTGTAGGATTGGTTTAAACTTTATTTTATTTTATTTTATTTTTTTAATTTTTTTTGGTGTTAGGCCTTATTTGAGGAAGGACAGTCTTTGCATAGCATTGCCATAAGAGTGAAAGTCCCAGGACCACTTCTGTTTGAAAGTTTTTTCTGCATAGGATTGTAAAGTCCAGGTTGCATCCTATTCCTTGATAGTTATATATTAATAAAATGTAGGTCCAAAGGGCTTGTGTTACTGTGTCTTGAAGTTCTTAATCTGGTGAAACTCTTCTTCATTTCTGTTGCATTTCTTCTGTGTGCTGTACTACAGAAACACCAGTCTTGTTGGTCAGTTTGCTTGTTGTTTTTCCTTTTCCATTTTGAGAAGCCTGATGCTGTTACTGATAACAGTGCAGGTAGGTTATTTATGTATTTTGCCTAATTATTTCATGTCTATATGCATTTTTTCAGCTTACAGGAAGGTGAGATGAACTATTTCATCCCTTGGTAAAAGGCACTGTACGTTTCTGTCTTAGGATCAGCTGCTTGTTTTTATTCTGCCTCCTTATCAAGGGCTAGATTAAATCATAGGTTTAAAGTGTTCCTGCTCGTAGCTTCATGTGCAGACTGATAGTAGGTAGGGGGACTTAAGAAGTGTATCATTACTGAGCACAGTGAAAGATGTCTGTGGAGAAGAAGTTGCAACTGAAGAGTGGTATGCAGCTTTTTTACAGTGTGTTGTGTTTATAGGGTGGATAGTACCCATAGTTAGGACAGGCTTTTAAATCACACACTTTCTCTGTGCATTATTTTAGTGGGGGAACAAAAAGGCTTTTATTATGGAGTGTTTTTATGTTGTCCTTTATAACCATCGTCGCTCCGACAGCGAAACCTAAATTTTCATTAAATGGTATAGACAGACTTCTCAGCTGCAGTTGCTGGAGCCCACCAGAAAGCAGCTGCTCGTGCAGATCCAAGGTAGAGCTGGAGCTGTGGATTTCAGTCTGCAGCTCATGGAGCTGCTTTCTGCTACTGAGATGTTTCAGAAAGTTAGCTAGGAAATGCAGATCTGTGCCACGTATTGCTCTACAAATGTGAACTTTAATGGGATATGCTTCCACGGGAATAATTTGAGATCTGTCACTTGGAAAAGGTTGAAACCCAGACATTAAAGCAGTTGAGTGTTTCAACAGAAAGTGTAGTCGCTATTGTGGAACAGTGCATATGAGGTCACCTGAACTGTTTCTAGGCTAGAGAGACTGTAGTGGAAATGTTTTTCCTATTCCTTTCTCTGGTGTCTCTGAAGGAAACAGACCTCCACTGTCCTTTCCACACAAAAGGCGGATTGTAGTATCTCAAAGGCACTGACCGTGTAATGCCAAAAAGAAAACACATTGTTACGTATTTTATGGAGGTAAAGTGAACATCACTAGTCAGTGTATAACTGTTGCTTTTGATAGTGTGATGCCTGGTTTCCTGACACACACCCCTGCCCCAGCCCCAAGCAGTGTTGTACAAGGTGTGTAACTGCAGAATTGGCTTTAAAGAGTATTTCTTCCAAGCTCAGGAGACTTTCCTGCTTCCTTTCTTTTCACTCCCTTTGGTACTTTGTCAGGACCACTGTACTGGAATTGTCCCCCACATTATAGGACAAGCTTTAAAAATAGAACAGGAGAGCTTCTTATAAGAAGCAAGTTGACGTGAATCTCTGTAGCTACTTCTATTGATGTGATCGAAGTTATGGAGGTCAAGAATTACATCATTTGTAAATTGATCTGAAGTCCTTAAATGTTGCACTGCATGATCGTAAAGCTGCATTGGCATGATCTGGATTTATGTAAGACTCCTGTGTCTCTCACCACCTGCTTACAAATAGCAACTGTAGCCAAATGTAAAGGGATCTGAGCAGAAGATAAATCCCAATTTATTTCTTTTATTTTATAGACAAGTAAATAAATTAAGAGTTTGGTTCATGGACATATAGAAAGTCAAGGTACTTTGACAAACAATAAAGCCTTGAACTTTTTATCATTGTTTCCATGAGGAGGAGCATAAGAGCTGTGAGTTAGTGACTGATGACTGCATGACTCATTGGGTATACATAGGATAAAAAGAGAATGTTCAGGGAACAATTCCCATGGAAGAGAAATTGCTTTATGCTAGTAAATATGGCAGTAGCTCTCCCTGCATAATCGTAGAGAATGCTATTTGTTGTGCACACAGAAAATGAAAGGAGGTATCAGCGTCACTGCTCATTTCAGTGTCCCGCTGGGGTCTCATTGAAATGTGCATTTTCAGGGCAGCATAGTGATTTTTTGCAAGTTGATACATGTCATAGAAATTATTGATCAAATGCAAATACTGATTAAAAGATGCAGAGGATTTGGGTTGTTTCTGAACTTTTTGGTTTTTTTTATGATAAGATGTAGCTCTTACTATTTTCTCTGTCAGGATCTTACACTGGTAATCAAAACTGTATGTTTAGTCTTTTTAACTGTGAAAATACAGGTTGTCTTTAAGTAAAAAATAGTTTGGTTTGGTATTAATCCTGTTCAGTTTTAATTTAGTTGGTTTTTTTCCCCTGAACATAGTTTTGCCCTTGGCTCATTCAACCACTAAACTTTGCAGGTCAGAGTGTTTTTTCTGTGCTTTTCTCTGTTTATGTTGTTTACAGGGTGAAAATGATGTGCAGAATCATAATGTCTTCTCTTCCTGCACCCTAAAACCAAGCAGATTAAAAAATGCAGGCAGTAAGCCTGGGCAATAATTTCTCAGTAAATATTTTACTGTTTTTTTCCATCTGTTACACTAAAATCTGACTTAAACTAGGCATAAATCTAGTCAGAAGAGGTCACTGGGATATTAATCATCAGAATTAATCCTCTTAGACATGTGCTTGGTATGAGGCCAGCTATTCAGAAGTTTAACACCGCACATATGTTGCTTGTCTGTCTGGCAGCTTGCCAGCCGAGTGAACTTTGAGTTTGTGGTGGTTTCTGTATCTGCTGTCTCTGTAAAGTGCACTGCTTGTTTGGTGCGAGTTAGTGCAGCTTTTCTGTAGGTCACCTGTGGCACATAGCCTGCTACTGAAGAACGAAGTTCTCTTCAAAGTGCTTTGAAGGAGCTGTAGTCTCTTAGTGTTGCATGGTAAGAAGTGGTATCATTCATGGTTGACCTTTTCATGGTGCTTCCCAGTGAAGTACAACGAGCCAGATTTAATACTACTTACTCAGAGCAGAGAAGGAGACAATATTTCATGTAGAGTAACACTGTGGAACTCAAATATAACAGAATGAAACTTCACCCTGCGTCTGCGCCTGCTGTTCTGACTTGGAGAAAACATTCATTTACATATATACAACTCTTTCTTGAGTCAGGTCTGGGCTGGACCCAGTATTTCTGTTTCTCTCTTCATAGGAGCATGCTTCATATTTGACAGAAAAATGATTGTTTCATATCCTAATTATGGAACTGATTCATCCCCTAGGGTGTGGAAACCAAACAGTAGGAATGAGGGCATAATTTAAAAAATAGTGTATATTTAGGTAAGAGGTAAAATAAAATACAACTCCATTGAAAAGTTTCATGATAAAGAAAAATGGCTTGCATTAGAGGAACTTCCTAAAACAATCTGAGATGATGGCTTAAAGAACATATTTTCTTATTAATGTGTTGACCTTGCTTGAAAGAAATTAATTTTCTTCTTGCCTTTATTTCTCAAGGAGAAGAATGAAAGCTCGTGCTCCTCCTCCACCAAATCAACCCTTTGCAGCAAGTCGAATTCACAGTGAGCACAAGTCACCTGCAGAGACAGCTGTAATTTCTGAGCAGAGCCTTGTGAGCATGAAGGAGAACATGATAAACAGATCAGTGGACTTCACAGTCATTTTACCCAGCGGGGTGGAGCAGAAGAGCACAGTACAAGGAAGGTAAGGCTTTGATTAGCTCTCACTTTCTGGAGTCCTCTGTTCCCAGTGGGATATTTGCTGATATTAATACCTCTCTTTCTGGGTTGATGGGGTTTCTCTGTCATGCTTCTCTCTACCTTGTCGGCAGCTGTTGTACCAGACAGTCCTGAGAGCCATGTATAAAGGACTCTCTGCTAGGGCAGCAAGGATTTAGCAGCTATTGTGGCACTCTTTTCCCATGGATCACCCTTGACATGTGTATGGATCCGTCTCTTCCATGTAGTGCCACTGTGCTGGTCTTAGGTTGTATCACATCTCCTAACGCAGAAGAGCTTTGGTGCAGTGGAAGCGGGTGCTGCTGGCAAACGGCAATCCCAACAGTGTCTGGAGTCGTGCCCAGAAGCTAGCTCAGAAGAGGAATGATTCATCACATTCAGAGATCCTGCCTTCACAAATACATTGTGACTGTGTAGACAGAGAAGCATCGGCTGATATTTAGGAAGCCTTTTCTATATAAAAGTGTATTGCTTTTTTCCATGGGAAGAGAAAGAGGTTTTTCTTGTTGCTGGATACAATCAAGGGCAAATTGTATTGGAAAGGCAATTCTGAGATAATTTTCTTAACCATGGAAGCTCTTTCTTCTCCTTATCCTCTCTGTCTCATTGTTTTGCAAGAGAGTAACTTACTACTTTAAGAAAGAATTTGAAAGAGTTTTAAAAATATGCTCAATAATATGATGAAACTATAGCAAACAATGGTGTGGTCAATACTGGTCAAAAAACTGTAGAAAGTGATAGTACCAGGTTAGGAGGATATGTAGATGCCAGTTGATAAATCAAAGGCTGTGCTTATTTTATGTTTGGGGTTTGCAATAGTTAGTCTCCATTCCTGTAAAATTACTCTTCTTGGTCTGCTATATTAGTCTGTTTTGACCATTTGTCTATTAGTGTATTTTGATGGCTGAGGAGGATGTGTACAGCAGCCCATAGTGTTTGGTACTTCGTTCTTTCCCCTACTTTTCTTGTAGAAATTAGTGTTTGCTTAGCCACTCTCAGATCAGTGCAACTTTTGTGGGTTAGCCCCAAAGACAGTTTGATGTTAAAGGTTTTAAAGGAAAGCAGTGCTTGTCAGAGCTCTCAAATTATACATGCAGTGATCAAGTTATTATGGGGAGATTTGGACTTAATGAGACAAAGAAGAGACCTGTAAAGTAGAAAAAGATATGAAGCTCACTGTCCATTAGATCCTAAAGAAAGCTCTTATTGCATTGGCAAATGCAAGCCACCTGGGAGCTAATAACAGGCTAAGCTTCGTGTAGCATTTTGTATAGAGTGATACGTAATTGCCATATGTTTAGAAAAAAAAATTATTTTCCCTCAAAAAAACCCCAGACACTCCAAGAGCCCTGCAAGAGTCGTATTTTAATGTGACCTTCTGAAGAAAGCTGACATAAAAGCTACAGGAGCAGGGAGCAAATGGAAAATCCCTGTACAATAAGCATTCTGTCTCTCACACAGGTGTTTATTATCACTACCATTGCTATCACATAGAATCACAGAATGGTTTGGGTTGGAAGGGACCTTTAACAATCATTCAGTCCAACCCCTATGCCATGGGAAGGGACACCTCCCACCAGACCAGGTTGCTTAAAGCCCTGTCCAACCTGGCCTTGAACACCTCCAGGGAGGAGAAATCCACAACCTCCTGAGGCAACCTGTGCCAGTGTCTCACCACACTCACAGTAAATAATTTCTTCCTAATATCCAGTCTAAAGCTACCCTCTTCCAGTTTAAACCATTACCCCTCGTTCTGTTGCTACACTGACGCTGAGTATTTTGATTAGTAGAGTCTTTAGTTTGTGGACTAAAACCTGAAGGAAATGTCAAAAACTAAACTTTAGATGTTTCTGTGGAGTTACATATATCGTCTATGTTAAGCAACACAAATGTTCTCTGTGTTGTTCTGTGAAGGTGGTGACTTCTTTCCATTGGCTGCACAACGGAACTAGGCAGCAATTAAATTCCTGCTTGTGCTAATCTGAGTACGCCAGTGCATAAGTAGTAGGTGCCCTTCCTCAGCGCTGTCTTGAGCACTTGGGGTGAAGACTTAATGACAAATGTCAGGCACTGATAGCCAGCTGTGGGAAGATTACAGAAAATGAGGAGGGGAGAAAATCATCCCAACAAGTTATGAAATAAGAAAAGGGTGCCCTATAATGAACCCTGTATTATAGCGGCATCAGTCTGTGAGCAAACCTTGTGTGTGCTGCTGTTCTTTCTAACCACTGGAAGATGAAACTTTCTGCCCATTAACACTGGTTACATTTTTAGGGATGTGGAATAAAAAGGAAAAAAAAGTCAAGAGCATCTGAAACTTAGGGCATGAACTGTCTTAAGTCTCCAGGTTTGGGTGAAAGCTCAGGCTTTTTCATCTTTTTGCATTGTTTTGACATTGAGAACTGGACAGCTACAAAGTACAGTTATACTCAAAGCTAAACATTTAGTGATGAAGATGTTGGTTTAAAAACAAAATGTTTCATTTAGTTTTAAGCAAGTATGGGAGGCAGTGCAGGTAGTAAATTCTTTTCTCTGTTCACTCTTTTTATCTATGATGATATCATGGAAGGACATTTCAGACAAATTCTGTTGTTGTTTATACTGCTATAAATCTTCAGTATTTTCACTGCCATCATTAGAATTGCATTCTGTAAAATCTGCTTTTGGGTACCCTGTGGAAATAGCTTTTCTGTTGCAGAAAAATTTGCAAAACCTTGCCCTGGGCATCATCATAACGAAAAACAATTCTGTAATTTCAGGAAAACAGTTCACAGAACAGTGAAGTACACTAGAGGATGTTTGAGAATATAACTACTGTAGTTAGTTAGCATCACTTAAGGTTATTATAAATGAACAAAGTTAAAAGTCAAAATTATCTCTACATTTGTTCATTGTATGCAAGCATGTTGTTAGTTTTACTGTGTTGTCAATATAGAAAGTTCTGTAAATACCAACAGGAGGGCATAAAATTCTCATTAAATTTTCTTGCAAGACAGTTCAATAAAAAAAGGAAGTCCATCTTGTAGCACACAATTTATTACAAATTTTGGAAATATGTAGCGCAGATTTTAGGACAAAGTTGAGTCCTTAAGGAGTGTGTGAAGCAACAGAGTAGTATTAAAAAATGGTTTTCTTTTTTTAAGTAATTGCTCCCTGTGATGAACTCTGCTGTAAAACATGTGGAAGTATTCATGAAAAACTGTTGGCCTTCTCCCCCCGAAAAGGATTATAAAATACCCCCACAACTGATCTGTGTTTGTACTGTTGTATGAGCACTAACTGATGTGCAGCAAGGATAGGCATAGTGTTGGCCATTTACACATTTTGTGCATACAGATCTGTAGCAGATCCACACAAACTGTTAGCATGTCTGGCAGAGGCGATGGATAGACATTTAGAAAGAAAATCAGTGAAAAAGGTCACAAGGGTTACCAGAAACGTTTTCTGTTTGAGATACTCACAGGTAATACTTACAATGAATATCCTACAAATAAAGGTATCATGTGACTGTCTCCATTCGCACTGACATTGAGGAGGGCTTCCTGATTAACACAGATACACACATTTAGTGTCAGCAGCTTGGGGAGTCAGTAGTATTTGAAATACATTGCAGAAAAATGAGGATTTTTGAAGCTAAATGATGTTTGGTTTGGAGTTGTCAGCACATGGATGACCCCTATGCAGAAGAGAAGACTGGACAGTAGTTGCTCCTGCTGTTGCCTTACATGTTACACAAATTGTCTCATACATGTGATGTGCAGCGAGCAGGATACTAGAACAAATAATAAATGAGCTGAAGCTGTAGGCACATTCTGCAAATACTGGAGGATGGAGCTCAGCACAGAGTATGCATTATATGGAGCATAAAGCAAAAATCACAGAAATAATATTCTTACATAATTCTCAGTGGAATAAGTGATGCCAATTGTGGCCTTATAGCTCAACATACAGAACGATGTCACAAGATGCTGACTGTGTGAAATCAGCCCACGTTGGTAAAACATGAAAGAGGTTTTGTTAGAAGATGATAAACAGGGCATATACAGCAAAAGGGTTAAAATTAGCTTAACTAAATACTAAATAGGGGTCACGTCAAAACTACAGTAGTTCAGTATAGCAAGATTATTTTTCTAAAGCCTAGAACAATTTACAGAATGATTTATGTTGGACAGGGCCCCTGGAACTCACCTGCTCTAACTCCCTGCTCAGTGCAGGTCTC